TTTTCTCCTATATTTATTTCCGAATATAGAGAGAGCAAAAGGGAAAATTAATTTACACAAGAAGGAGATCAAGAAAACTGATTATGGCATGCTTTGTGCCTTTCAATAATAGGAATTTGGACATAAGTTTTCTTGTACTCCGACCAACGGTTGTGTTTGTTGATGAACTAGTCGAGGCGTTAAAGCAATTTTCCCTTTGCACTGAGAATCTTGGTTGTGTTCACAGCGCAATCTTTAGAAGTATTCATGGGAACATGGTACGTTTTCTTTTCTTAAAGATTGTTTGTACAATACCCGACTTTGGATCAATCTTCGCAAATAACGACACTCCTTACAATTGATCGAATAAATCCTGACTCTCTCTTAGCTTGAACTGTTGATGTTTACTGCAGATAGTATGGTACGGAGCATGGATGAAGAGATCTAATGAAAATAAGCAACCAATAAATGCAGCTATGGTAAGTATCCCTTATTTTATGACTATTTATTTCCATCGATTATTTTGAGAAAGTCCATGATTAATAGATTCTGTTCTTCCTTGTCAGATTTCCATGTTAACAAATGTAGAAAGCATGGCCATCTTAATTGATAGCAGTTTCTTTGAAGCATACGCTGGTGAATCAAAGGATGGTTCTCCAGCAGCAAAATTCTTCAATGGCGACATTATCTCCCTAAGTTCTGCCACAGTTTCGGGGAATGAAAACACGTTTTCTTATGCGTGTTTAACTATATTTAAAGACCGTTTTCTCAAAATGGAAGGTGCAACTGCTGGAGTTTGCCTGAAATCTCAGACTATGCCAAGAATCGTTGGTCTTTTTGTGTGGAAATCTCTCCAGTTCTGTTATTCGCACATTCTAAACTCGGATAATCGAAACACGATTCTCCCGTATTTCGGTGGGATTCCTTTAAATGTAAAGTACGACGTTTTTAGAGTTGTCTACGTCAGTGGAGACAATGCTGTGAATATGCAGTTTTATCCTCGTTATAAAATGCTGGAGAATGTATAATTTTTTTATTTCCCTAAATATCATTGTGTAAATGTTTGATCTGACCTCAGTTTTTATACGGTAGAGCGCTGATCTTAACCATGGCCATTATTTTAAGAAAATTGTGTTTTGAATAGTTGTTTTTTTTATCTATTTACTGTAATTATGAGAATAAAAAGGTTGCGGGAATTAATAATAGTTATATCTAGTAGTGCGTATTAAAGGATTCTCCAATCCTTGTACGTCAAATTTGTGTAAAAATCCCGTCCAAGCCAACTTCATATCATT